TTTTGGATTTGTAAAAGGACAGCTCCAACACTGGTGTTACTTGCATCTGTGTCCAAAATCAACATGCCTTTGTGATCAGGATAGGACAACACTGGGCTCGTACATAATGCTCCTTTCAATCTTCTAAATGCGGAATCGCATTCTTGGGACCAATTGAATGTTGATTTTTCTTCTGTTAATCGATGAAGTGGAGCAGCTATATTGGCGAATCCTTCCACAAATCTTCGATAATAAGAACATAATCCTAGAAAACTCCTTAGTTCATGTTTGTCGCGTGGTTTTGGCCAGTCCCTGACAGCATCTATTTTTCCTTCCATAACTTGTATGCCCTCTTCAGATACCACGTGACCTAAGAATTCCACTTTCTTTTGAAATAGGAAACACTTATTTGGATTGAGTTTCAAGTTGGCATTCCGGAAGCGGTCAAAAACTTCTTTCAGGTTATTGAGATGTTCTTGGAACGAATTTCCCATAATCATGACGTCATCCAAATATACCAGGCAAGTTCTCCATGTAAGGCCTCGCAAAACAAGATGCATCAGTCGCTCAAACGTAGCTGGAGCATTACACAATCCGAAAGGCATTACATTAAACTGGTATAGCCCGCTTCCGGTACTGAAGGCAGTTTTCTCTTTGTCATCGTCATGTATTGCCACTTGCCAGTATCCACTTTTGAGATCCAAGGTGGAAAACCATATGGAGCCCGATAGAGTTGTTAGTGTATCGTCTATTCTTGGGAGAGGGAAGCTGTCCTTCTTGGTGACGTCATTAAGCTTTCGGTAGTCCACACAAAATCTAAGACTCCCATCTTTCTTCGTAACCAGTACTACTGGCGCGGACCATGGGCTATTTGACTCTTCAATGATTCCCTCTTGAAGCATTTTATCAATTTGGTTTTCCACTTCCTGTTGCTTAGCTACTGGCATACGTCGTGGTGGTTGTCTAATTGGGTGTGCCAATCCAGTATCAATTTTGTGTTGAATTAAGCTGGTTCGTCCGGTTTAATTGTCCATCACAAATACGTCTGCTTCTTTCAAAATGAAATCTGTGGCTTCTTGAAGTCTATCTGGATCGAGATGTTTCCATGATTTCGCCAAAGTCTGCATCAAGAAGTCTGTATCCAATTTGGATTTCACAAAATGTCGCTTATCTGGTAGGTCACAGTTCGATATTTGCTTCACTGGTTCGAGAGCTCCAATAATGTCTCCTTCTTTTATTCTTACTGTTTCGGAAGAAACATTGGCAATTCTTATCATAATGTCTCCATTTGTTCTTACTAGAGTCTTTCCAACAAGAAATCTTTCTGGTTTATCTCCAATGAAATTACGTGTTAGCCCAACGCAGCACCCAGGGTTTGTTTCTAATCTTCCGCAAATGATCTTCTCAGTACTTCCAGGAATCCTCACTGGGGTTGTGGCCAAGATCTTAACGGCATCGGATTCTTCTTGTGTTGTTAGGACAATTTCTTCATTACCAAATTTAAGGATGTTCATGGAAGGATCAAAAGAGAACCCATGTTGGCCGATCAAATCCATTCCCAAAATAAAATCATCTTCTATATCGGCGACTAATGTTTTGTGCCTGAAGGTGGTAGATCCAAAAGTGAGCTCAACCATAGCTTCTCCTTGAACTGGTGCAGATTCGCCGGTGACTATTCGTAGTGACAGGTTTCTAGTGAGCGGTTGGATTGCCCGAGACTTGACTAATGTTATTTTAATTATGGAAACTTCAGCACCCGTATCAAAAGTGATAGTTTTCAATTCTCCATTAATTTGTCCTTCGAATGTTAATCCTCTATAATGACTGCCCAATGATTTTATGTTAACAACCCTGGGGGCTTCGTCATTACTAACCAGCATTCGCCCCTCCATACTGGTTAGTTCTCGTTTCCCTGTCTGTTATTAGGGCTGGCGTCTCTTGATCTCGAAAAGCGTTGGAAACGATCCCTTGATGGAGAGGGCATTCTTACTCTACAATCTCGTTGAATGTGTCCAACCTTATGGCAGCGATAACATTCTAATCGATTTCTTTGTGTTGGTGTTTGTCTGGAGTCGTTTCCCGTTTTTCTGTCTTCTCGTAATATTTTCTTTATTTCCTCCATGAAATTACTCATAAGGTTCTCGAAACTGCCATCCTCTTTTGATGATTGTTTTTCCTTTGGGTCCTCAATGGACACTGCTCGTATTCTGGGTCGTGGGGCACCAAATATTGCTTCCAGTTCTAATGCTCGGACAAGGGCTTCGCTACTTTGTCTGAACTTGGACATTCTTAGGTTTTCCTGGATCTTCGAATCTCTGAGACCATCAATAAACGCAGATACTGCCATCCATTCCTGCATGTCTTCCCCAGCTGCAGGAAACGCCAAACTCACTAGCCTTTTAACTTCCGATTCGAATTCTTGTAGACTCTCGCCGGGTTTTTGAACTCTTGATTTAACTTGAGTTCTGAATACTTCTTGTCTGTAATGGTCTCCGAAGCGCAGTTCTAAAGTTTGACTAAGATGCTGGTAATTCTGTTGGTAGACTGAAGAAATGGACTGAAGAAGGTCTAAGGCCGGTCCTCGTAGCGCCACTATTAGTGCTGTAGCTTTTTCTTGGTCATTCCATCCGTTGGTATTTGCAGCAGCTTCAAATTGTCGAATATACATGGTCCAGGACGTAGAACCGTCGAAAGTTGGTGGTTGTGTGTTTAACTTCTCTTACATCGTCTTTAACTTCTTGAACATCGATTTTGACTTCAGTTTTTACTTCCTGGACGTCGTGTTTAACTTCTTGCACATCGTCTTTAACTTTTTCAATCTTCTGGTCTAAGTTGGCGACAGTTCCTTGTATGGTTTGGAATATCTTCTGCAGTTTTGCAAGGTCTTCTTGCCGTTCTTGTTGTCGCCTAGCTTCTTCTTGTTGTCGTCTAGCTTCTTCTTCTTGTTTTTCTTATTGTCGCCTGAGTTCTTCGTCTTGTTTTTCTTGTTGTCGTCTGGCTTCTTCGTCTTGTTTTTCTTGTAGTCGTCTGGCTTCTTCGTCCTGTTTTTCTTGTTGTCTTCTAGCTTCTTCTTGTTGTCGTCTAGCTTCTTCGTCTTGTTTTTCTTGTTGTCGTTTGGTCTCTTGAAGTTCCAACATTTTGTGCAGGAGTTCTTCAACTTTTTGTTCGTCCATTTTGGCTTGTTGTCTTGTGATAGGCATATACAGAATGTTCTAGAATTTCCCTCGAACTTTCTTCAAATATCTTTTCTGGTCTTTGCTCGAAGTTCCAAACACGCCGGTGAAGTCACAAATTGGATAACTTGCCTTATTCTAGAATAGAATGTTCTGGAATTTTCTTGAAACTTCTTTTTTAGATGTCGATTGATACAGCAAACACGTTGGTGAAGTCACAATTTCGATATCTCCCTTGGTTTCCAAATAGAATGTTCTAGAATTTTCCCGAAACTCCTCGAAAAACTTCTTCTGAATGACGATTGATGTTCCGAATGCCTCGGCGAAGTCACAAATTCGATATCTCCCTTAGTTTCCAAATAGAATTTTCTAGAACTCACTCGAAGATTCACTATCACAGTCTAAATCGGGGATAGAGTCACTTCCGGGGTAATTCACACGATCGGTTGAGTCTCTTTTTGTGATTGTCACTGTTTGCACTGCACTAACTGTCCCAGTGTTCACTTAGTGTTCAGTTTTTACACTACACTAGTGTCCCCACACTTCCGCAATTGGAATTCACTCTGCAGTCCTTTATATCCCACTTCTTGGCACCAATGTCGCGGCTTTGGGTTGCCTGCTGACAAAAATTTTGGGTTCGTTGTTCGTTTCGTTTATTCCAAAAATCAAAGTCCGATTAACACAGCAATAATTTATTCCACTTAACAAAACACTCTGACACTAATTACTTTATTAACAAACTCAACAATTAATAAACTCTTTACAATCACTATTTAAATCGTATCACACTCGAACTGAAACTAACTTACAAACCAATGCCGGCCTTCTTATATATCCCTAAATCTATTCCTGTGAAATCTAGAATACACACGATAATCTAATTTTCCAGATTAAAGTAGAATAATTCGCTAGATTCTAGTATTTCCGCGATCGATTCTTGACAGCCTGGCGGACGTTTAGCTTATTGTGACACTATTCTCTTTGCATGAACGTCTATGTTAAACCATCTTCTATAGAAAAAATTAATCACCCCTATAGTACCAGAAATAACCAAAGTGGGCATCTCATAATACCAAATCCAATATAAATTTAAGATTTTTTAATTACTTAGCTCCTAAGTTCTACAACCTGTTACCTATAAATATAAGAATGATACGTAAAAAAAATTTGTTCAAAAGTAAATGCCTAAACTATATATTTCAAAATTTAAACTTATTCTTGGTTTTCTTGTAAGGTACTTGTATTAATTTGAACTATTGACAAATTTTGAAGACATTGGTGGTTTTTTTGTGTATACATTTCAAAATTGGTCCACTCTTGTTTTTGTCTTCTGCTTTATGTAAATTATTGATAGGATCTATTGTCTTTGGTTATGGCTAATTGTACTATAGTATGTTTTTCTCTATGCTAACTGCACATACAGATATTTATGTCTAGGTGCAGAATAATAACAATACCATGTGATAGTGAAGTAATTTTTATTGTAGTCTATACCTAAGTGCAATTTATTGTAAATTAACCAATTTCAGTAATATATAATAATAATATAAGAATATAAATAATAATATAAGAATATAAATAATAATATAATAATAAAAAATAATATAATAATAATAATAATAATTAGGTTCGATATAACAAACTTGTCATTCAAAATTACGAGTTGGCGTTTTCTGATATGCATATCCTTATTCATATCTAAATAGCTAAATCTTTAGAGATGCGGCATCTCAGATGCCAACTAATCGAGCGAAAAGATGACAACATTAGAATGTGTAGTTTGGCTCTATGACAAAGACAAGACGCCGCCTAGCTCTCCGATTAAGGACTAATAGAAAAAAAACTCACCTGAATCTTGCACTCCTGCGGGAGTCAAGACGGTACTAAGACTAACATTTACAGGAAGATGATCGAAATGAGGATTAGGCGTAAGTACTAATTCCCGAGTACCATCAGCTGGATGCCCATCTGGGGCAAAAGCATTAAGTCGTTCTGCATTATAGTAACGAGGTGTCGTACCGGAAGCATAAGTTCGCCAAGCAAGTGCAGCTTGTTCTGCTGAATCCATTATGCGCTAGAAAAAAAAAAACGACAAATAATAAAGCAAAATATAAGTATTTTATTCACTTACTAAAACAGCACTGCGTTTAAAGTCCATCATATTTTTCACCTCTGTGGCCATTTCTCTTATAAGTATCAGTCCATCTTTCCTATTAACAGCAGTTTCTACATCTCGGTATTTCTGGAAATAAGGTGTATAATAAATTAAAATCTCCTGAAAAAGACGAACTTAAGCCTTCATAAAATTTCATTTATATAAAAATTCTGTTGAATTTTGCTGTCGAAAATAATCCCGAAAACGGGATTTGTAAGCCTGGTTTTAGTTGATTCCATTTTAATCACTTGGATGCAATTCAAAACATAAAGCACTAATAATGATTGTACAGGATGGGCCGGTTTGGACAATTTTAATAGGAACGTCAATTTCTGAGTGAGTAAAAAAAATCCCTCACTCTGAGGCTCCATTTTATTTTATTTTTTTGATATCTTCAACCAAGCGTTTTGCCGCTAGAGAACTCTTCTTGATTTTAAGCAAAACTGTGAAAGCTTCATAAGCCCCTGTTTATTAATGACTCATTGGATAGCTCTGTTGTATCTGTTTTTGTCATAAGAAACTATGTGCTAGAAAAAGGCCTTGCTGATTTCTCTTAGCGATATGAGGTCCTTTTCCAACAACAAAACGAATTTTACTTTTATTCTCAAAAACTATTGAACATAAACCTATCAAACCTTGTATCATTGAAATCAGCTAAAGCAGCGCTATTCAATAAATTATTAATGTATAGGGTGTCTTACTAAAAAAGTAAGACTTTGGTTTGATGAATATATACCGCTATCGGGGTCAAATAAAAAAAAATTGAGTAACTATGTCATTGGATTCTGCTTGAAAAAATACCTTTGCATCTAGAAAATTTATACAGAAATCAATTATTTTCATAATAAAAATAGTTATGAAGCTTTCACAGTGTTGCTCAAAATCGAGAAACGCCCTCGAGGGTTAAAACTACTCAAAACGGTTGAAGATAATAAAATGCGGTTCGCACCAATGAAGATTTCATGAAATTTGAGCCTGTCAATTAAACAAAATCTATTAAGATTGCATTTTAGTAGCCCCCATTGTGCAGGACTTGTAATCAAGAAGACGAGACGATGCAACACATCTGTGACAGCACTGCTCTTTCGCTTTTCGCTCAGCGTCGTCAGAACTCTCTTGCGCACAAGTTTGTGATAGACGCTGAGCCAAACCGAATAAACGAACATAAGTGTCAACGCTATATGGTTTTGGGACAACAAATTTGTCGGGACTTCTACAGTCGGGATAAATACTGTCTGGCCAATTCAATTATATAAGCTTCGGAGGCATATACGGACCTTGACTTTGTGTCGGGGTTTCTACGGTGGGAACAAATACGGAGTTTGACTTTGGTGACGTTGTGTCGGGAATTATACGATTATACGGTCGGATGGTTCTTGCATATAGTTATAATGGCTAAATTATCGACTTACCCTCTGTAATTCGTTCATTTTTGTCATCATTTTGCCGTACTCCCATAAGCCAACGCCAAATTGGAGTGCCCAGTTTCTAACTCTGGAAATTTAGATCAATTAACATAAATAACATGCATGAATAATAGGGAACTTGACAAAAAATTTAAACATGAAAATATTACTATAAATTATAAAAATATATTATGTTAAAACATATATCAGCGAAAAAAACAAATTTTTTTGTCGCAAACGGCCGCAATAAGGAATTAAAAATGCGGAAAAATTCAAATTATTTCCAGCGGGAAAAAACGCGCTGGTACTGGTCGTGACGTCATCTAGTATGATTTGTCAGTGTCTTGTAAGCAACCGTCCATCATACCGTGAGTTAGTCTTGAAACACTTAGCGCTCCGAGCATTTTCCGTCTTTTTTCCTTATGATGAGAAGAACAGGGATAAAAGAACAAAACAGCAGCTCCAAGCGTTTACTCGAACTCTACATAATAAATACCCATGTGCTGCTGTGTTTATCCACGTTTTTCTCTAATTTTTTAAAATTTTATCATTATTAGGATTGGTTTACTTAGCTTAAATTCAATGAATAGCTCAGCATTATATAAATAAAACGATATACCTATTACCAATTAATTATGACCGAAGAAGGAAATTCCAAAGGCCAATCCGACAATCTGTAATTTGTGATATGTTTATGGTAGCAAAAGTAAGTTTGTGCGAATCTTTTTTTCCATTATAACTTCAAAACTTACAACTCGCCGCAACACAAAACAACAACAAAACAAATAACGGTGGAAAAAGTGGAAATCAACCAAATTAAATACAATGAAGTATAACGTTTGGAGACAAGGTGACTCAAAATCATACTACGTGACGTCATCTAGATTCGCGCGCATTTAAGGTCGTTTGAAATGCTTTTGATACGCACAAAACTTTAAACATTTTTCACCAAGTTATTATTAAGTTTTAGGGAATAATATTTGGGGAATATTCTTTGAAGGCATAAATAAATGATTTTAAAAAATTAAAAAAAAATTGTAAAGTTCCCTTGAAATCAATAATCTAAAGATGACCAATTTAAAAAAAGACAGGCTTATAACATCATAAAAACAAAGAAAAAAAATGATAACATACAGTGGTGCTGTGAAAAAATAAAAGAAATATAAATGGATAGAACTCGATTTTGAGGTGCCAGATCGATCCCCATTTAATCGGAAGTGCTAATCATTTTATCCTCGTGGCAGTTTGTTATAGTATAAAGTAGCATTATACCGCGTTAGTTACTATGATTTGTGAATTTTACTGTCATAACTTCCTGTGATTCTAGATCTTTTAAAATTTGTGATTTCTAAACTATCAAAGATCTTGTGCTGTAAAAGTATCTTCACTTACGAATTCAAGATAATTTTTCTAAAGGGTAACTTAATACTCAAAGTAACTTCAGATGCTTCTAAAAGAAACTTATCTAGTAACTAGATATTTTCCAAAAGTATCTTTGATAGCTCTATGCCATCCTAAACAGACGTGGATGCAATCAGTCCCTGAGGTCTGATGGCGCAGACAGGTCAAGGTAGATATTTTATCATATTTTAGGTTTATAACTAGAAGTTATTTTTCACAAGTTTCTATCTTTAATTGTCTTTGATATATCGACTTTTAAAAAAATATATGCCGCATCCCCCTACATTTAACTTCTATGGTATTTTTATCCTATGTAATTTGTGTGTATGAATCCAGCATAGTTTAATTCAAAATAGGTTGGTACAAACATATTATTATATGAGACACTTAAGAGAATTGTCAAAAAAAAATACATGAAAAAAGTTACATCAATGTTTGTTGCATTATCGTTTATTGTTGGGCGAACATTTCTTGATGAGTTCTTTTCCATCTGTTCTTTTTTTTGAATTGACTTGTCAACAATTTTGAAATGAAACTTCTTTGCTGGGGGGGTGATAATTTTTGAGCGTTACGAAAATTCCGATCGCGTAAGGGGAGTATAACAGTATGTCAGCGACGACCGGGGGATACGCACACGCTTGATTGGGTGACGATAGGAAGGGGAACGGATGATGGTCTACCCCTCCAAATTACCATGATTGATTCATCTTTTTGTCAAATTCAATAACTTGTAAAATATAATTCAATACATTACGCTTTAATCGTTTTATATCAGCTAGCTAAATGAGAGAATTGGGAAAAAAAACTTATCGGCATTTCAATGACATCATTTGATTAGTGTGTCATCATCATGATAGACATTCACTCACTAACGAGTATTATAAGTCGCCTGACATCATCATTATCTGTGGGCGCTTTGATGTGTAAATAAGCCTATTCTGGACCCAGAACTTCTTCAACATTGAATGCACACCTAGTCAGCTGATGATGCTCGTTATTGTGGACCAGTTCTTATCAGGCCTTCTCATTCTTTTCTACAATTCTGTGACTCGACGTATTTGGCCTGACACGTTATTGTTCAGTCAGTATTTGTACCGATCGTAGAAATACCGACACAACGTCTTCAAAGGCGCAAACTTCACTCGATATAATATATCTCCTGAAACGCATTGTTGATTTGAATGGCTTCGAAAAGTCTGGGATACGTTAGTAAGGGTTCTGAGGTTTACATTTTCTTGCGTGTATTAAAACATTCTACGAATTCGCTAGTGTAGCTATTCAACCTTTTCGTTTTTGGTTTGGTCCTACCAGGCTTTAATTGTATTTCTGTTAGTACTAGACACAGGGGCGCCGACTACGTGGGTGCTCGGGGGCCCTAGCACCCACGAGACGTAAACAGTGGGTGCGGAGCACCCACGAGCATACTAAATTTTTGACTCGGGGAATTATCTTTAACAAAAAAACAGACTCTATTCAGTGCCGAATTTAGTTGCTCCTTGACTTCTTGTGGACACTTGCTACTATTTGACAAGTTAGTCATGTCCATGTCAATTCTAAACGTTCAAGGTTTCCTCAAGATCTGAGGAAACCTCAAGAACAAGGAGCGACTATAAATTTGGCCCTCAAGGGGCTACACTAAGGGTAGGTTTTCATGCATCCGTCGGTCGTACGATAGTACGATGATACGACGAAGCTCTTATTGGTTAAACAGTTTCCCACCATTTTTTATCCGAATATTTTTAACTTTTCTCCGATGTCGGATAAAGTTACAATAATTTTAACTTTCATACGATATAGCATGATTTGACATTTTCAACGTATAATTCTTACCTAACTTTTCCATGTTTTGTTGGATATCTATTAAAAAAAGCCAACAACAAGGTGTATTTATTGAATGAAATGAGGCTCACCGGCTCACGGACAAAGAAAAATATTTCAATAACCTGAATGACCTGAGCAGTCAAATATTTTTGACTATTCATGAACGATTCTTATTATTGGATGTCGGATGCATGAAAATGCCAAACATCAGAAAATTTCTGAACTTTCTCATCAATAAAAAGCCGTAAATTCTACCAATCGGAACAATTTCGTATTGTCGTATCATCGGATGACGGATGCATGAAAACCTACCGTAAGGCCGGAGTCTCATGCATCCGTTTTCCGATGAAAGATGTCCGAAAAATGGTCTATTTTGACATATTTTCATACGATTATGTCAGAATAGAAGGTTTTTCGGACATCTTTTGTCGGAGAACCTTCTATTTTGACATATTTTCATACGATTATGTCAGAGTAGAGGATTTTTCGGACATCTTTCGTCGGAAAACGGACGCATGAGACTCCGGCTTAAGGCTATGGTCCGAATATAATCAGGGTTGTGGTTTCGCGGTCTTAAAGTAATCAAATCACTCTGGTTCCTGGAAAAGTGGTTACCTACTTTTGGATCGCAGTTTCCTGAAATCTAGTTAACCAAATGTCAAAATAGTTACCGGCCATCGGATGAAGGTTCTGTTGGTTTTATCTGTGATTTCTGTCCACAGAACTTTCTGTCAATTATTTTTTATTTCATATTGCGTTGCGTTCCCCAAGTAAACGGAATTTTCATTAACCATCGGTCAACCGATTCGGTTACTTTAGCACTGTTCCAACAGACATGAGAACCGTTCTAGAACGGTAATTTCCAGTCGATCAGTTCATTTGTCAAGTAGGATAAACGTTCAAGCCTTTGAAAAATCGGTGGGCAACTGGAAATTATTAGTTCTGGGGAACGGTTCTCATGTCTGTTGAAACAGAGAGCTAACGGTTAACGTTCGTTTAGTTATATTCGGACCATAGCCTTATATTATGTTTCTGGGCGTGGCACTCGGGTGGATTTTTTACCACTAGCTGCGCCTGCGGCGGCTGTTCACCCCCCCCCCCCCCCCACCCCTAATACCGGTGCATGAGCATCAGCAAATTGATCAGCACCCACGAGGTTTTCTAAAACCCGGCGCCCCTGACTAGACATAATATGCCTCCATGTATATCGAACACCTCTGATGGCTGAGTATAACATTGTTACCTTTAGCAATAATTTCACTTACTGATATGAGGTGGTTAGTTGGGGTATGCATGTTATATGGATTTCACGACTACATTGACCTCAAGACGCGTTTCATCAACATAGTGGTACAAAGTATTACAAAGTCTAGATGCTACTTCAGCAAGTTATCCTGTGAGAACATGTCACGCCAAGAACTCTGGTCCATGGTCGCAACGTTCCCATAGAAACAGCAAGATCGACATATTTTTAATTATAAAGGATCCTGTCTCTTTAGCTTAAGCGTCATTATTCGTCATTATTTTATATAGTTGAGTTAATGTCCGATTTTATTTGTAACTAGTATTTTTTAAATAAATTAGTGTTTTTTTAAAAAGTGATTTTAAGAGTTTTTGAGATAACATGCATGGGTTCCGGGTTTCCGTTAAATAAATAAAAATCACATTTTCTTTGTATGATACACATTTAATAAAATAAAAACAAGAAATATCATCATGATTTAATTGCATAATTTTTTGTTCGATGAAGTTTTGTTTTTGTAGAACTTCTATGCGGAAATATCTTCCTCTTCAATAAGTTTATGTGTGTCATGTCATTTAAAATTTGAAATTTTTAAGAAAGGGTAAAAATATCAGGGCGTGAGGATTTGATGACTCGGCGTTAAATTTTGAATTGAAAGATACGCATGGGTTTGTTGTCCCTGCTGAACTGGAATCGGGAAAGGCCTGAGTGGCAGGAGGACCACCACCACGAGCCCCCATTTTAGTTCAGATTAAACCGATAAAATTTAATTATTTTGGAGACAATCTAATTCTATGGAGTCGATAAAATGCGTTATAATTCGCAAAATTGAATTCCCTACCAAATTCTATAGTTTCGAATTGGGAGAAATGTTGGGTTATTTAAAAATTATCTATATTGAAGAGGAAATTACTAATTTCAGAAATATGGTTACGAGATTGCATTGGTGCGGAGAGGGCGACGTCACTTTCTGGAGCCGTGCTCGAAGATTCAGGAATTTGTTCCATTATGTGATTTCATTGAACAAGCATTCACGTGACTTTTGTGATTTCGCGATAACATATGGTTTTGTATTGTATGTACAGTTTGTCAGGCACTCGGTAAAGGTGATAAGTAAATTTTGTGTAAAGTGAATTAGTTGTTATTGTTAGTAAAAAGAGATTTGATGGGCCTGCAGAATCTGTGACAATTTGGTGTCAGAAGTGGGATAATTAGCGAAATAATTAGTAAATAGATTGATTGGAGCTAATGAGTGAACTTTTGTTAAATTGAAACAGTGACTTTAACACTAAATTTTAACATTTTACGTTACATTTTACAGTATTTTATTTGGAAACCAAAATTGATGAGAATGATATCGTTAAACAAGTCTACAGAGTAATTTTTCTAGATTCTGTTCTATTTGAAAATTAGACAAGGTACGAAAATTCCGCCACAGGACTTTACATTTAAAATTAGGTTTCAAGAAATATACAGAGTATTCTATGATATCGACAAGATAGGTTATCAATAATGTTGATGGACCTAATGAAAAATATCGAAGACAATAAACAATAAGAGGAAGCCCGAAGGCAGAGAGAGAGAGACAAGAAAAACAGGACCGGCTTGCAGCACTTTTAAAACAACAAGAAGATCGGACATCAAAAGAGAAACAATAAGAGGATGACCGAAGACACAAACAAAGACTAAAAAAGCAAGAAGAAGAAGCCCGAATACAAGCCCGAATACAGCACCGGTCAGGAAAATTTTCAATTTTAGCAAGAATGAATTTAAATCTTTATCGCTAAGAAACACTGGTGAACTGGTGAAAATTCAATTCTGGAAGGGCATGATGATAAATTCAAGAATTAAATGGAAGAAGTACCTATGTGGAGAAGTTGGAATTGTTCGTCAGGAAGTTGAAACTGTTCGTCAGGAAAATGGAACTTCTCGCTTAGAAACGGATAGTGTTCAAAATAAGACAAAAAAGTTGAAATGTGACTTGAAATAAGGAAAATCTCTCCGCTTTGCCTGCAACCGGTATTGAACTTGAACCGCCCCCATACAACGGTAAGGCATCATTGGCGACATACAGGCGTCATGGATGACGGGTGCGTCTGGATGACATGGCTACATGCTTGATTGTAGTATTGCTTGGCCCTGCCTCAAAAATAATGGAGACTTTTTTGCCAGCATTCCAACTAAAACATGGCGCGTTTGTTGATGCGTTAGGGGATCAACAATGACGGCAGGTGTACCATCGCATGCAACTTTTCGAAAAATGGCTGCTGGTTATCTTCCCGATAGCGGACTCCATTGATATTTCCTTAAAATTTACAGATTTTGTTTTTGCCCTAGTTGCTGTCTAGACACCTCTACTATTAAAGTATGCAAAGGCGTTTCAAGTATCGCATGAGTATTTCGGCGCTTAATATCATTATATTCTAGGAGTTTATGTAGCCAGTTTTGTGAAATCAGGCTTTATCGGTAAATAATGGTATTGCAAGATGGATTATCCTACAGAGAGTTCATGAACCATTGGCAATGAGAAGCGCGAATTGAATAAGTCCACGCCCCATTAACTTTTGTGCCATTACGCAAATAGGCTTCCACCATAGACTGTCTTTGTTCAATGGTAAAATTCATTGCAGGGCTCACCTGAAAAAGCTAGAAGAGAAGAGCGAAAACGCGGACCCAAATCCAGCGAAAACAAAGTCGCCAAAAAAAACGCACACGCGGAAAAAACACAGCGAAAAACTCTTGTAGGTTCTGATAATTAATGTTTTTGATTTGTAGAAACAAGGCGCAGAAACTCGAAAAAAATGCCAGAAGTTAGAAAGTAGAGGATTTCGGATGACTGCTATCAGCAGAACTGTCAAGTAATAATTTTTGAAATGTAAACTAAGACATACGTTTTTTGTGACAATTGCCATCCATAGGCGAACATAACAATTATTGAACACCCGCTGTTTGGACGACCAGCACACAAACACAGGATAAGAAGTTCAGAGTCATGGGTACCAGCCCAGTAAGCACAGCTACATAATTTAAAAGTAGCAATTTACGCATAACTACTTTACCTAATTATGTAATTTCTAAGTTTTTAAAGTCACAATCAGGTAAAATTTAACTTAAATAGAATGCATAAAGTAATATTCAAGTTGATGTGAGCCATTTTATGTAATGAAATTCTGTAAATTTTAAATAAATATTATTAGAATTTCCATAAGATTTACGTTAATATGATATGAAAAACCTACGTAAATGGTATATATATAATATAATAGTTATTATCACTATGTAAATATCCCTTAAATTTACGTTAAGCTTACATAGATTTTAATTTATTGTACCACCTATTATATCATTCGTTTCCACATAATGATTACGAAAAAATGTGACTTGCAATAAAAATGTGGTTGAAAAAAATTTGCCTTTGTTTTATTTTTAGACCTGAAGTCTACAAATTTTAAGTTAAAAAAAATACCAGTTTTTGAACTCATATTAACAGATGGGCCATGGAACTCGAAAAACGTTCTTGGAAGTTAGTTTAAATGCGATATTTGTTATGTATGTTTCGATAAGGGATAAGTGAATTTTATATAAACTCAAAGTCAATTTGCTCAATAAAAGTTGTTGCTGTTTATATCAAGTGAGTTTTAGTAGACCCAGAATCTGTGAAAATATTTCCCATGGTTGGCTCCCACGATATATTTGCTTTAATGCGTAGGTAATCAATTTATCATTAGGGCACAATGTAATGTTCATTATCAATAAGGGTTAAATTATTATTTCATTTAAAAAAACTATTTTTATTTTTTTATACTACAAAATTGTATTTAGTTTTGTACTTTTACAGCGCTGAATCTTTATTGTAATAGGTAGGTATGTATGTGTTTTTCAAATATTTGTAGGTAAATATCCAATATCATTCCTTTCATTTCAAATACTTATTCATATCAAGTGATATCAAGTGAAAAAACGGTAGTGGATAGAAAAGTAGGTAAGTACATAACTAGATGCAGTTAAATAGGTATGTACATATACACTTGATAAAATCTAAATCAGACATACCTATCTGATAGGGATAGGTAAAAAACTAATGAACTATCCTAAAAAATGTGTTTAATTTTGGCAGTAAATTAGGTGAATTCAAAATAAAGCTGGTAAAACAGCAAAACGATACTATGGTTACATCACTGCAGCGAAAAAAATTTGATGGCAAGATAAAATTGGCATTTGGCATTAGGCTTACTCGTTGTGTGGAATATCCTCGTCTTGTTCAAGGGCCGCGGGCCCGATAAGGGCCAGCAAAATTAGCACAACTAAAACCATAGCACCTTGATCACATTGGAACTAATTGTTGACATAAATCACTTGCAACACACACACCGCATGCATTTTGTAGATATTAAGCAAGATACCGTTACAAATAAAAATTTTATAGTAGCGGGTAGTAGGCAGAAGCAATTTTTTAGTTTGCTAGCACGTAGTACACACCCGACAGACGAGACGTCGCAGGGGGCGCACACTCCTCCACTAGGAGTCGATATTCCTGCGACCGCGCTTGAATCACTTGCCCTTGCTTTATCCCTTTACCTTTATACATACACCTCTTACCTCTTGCAATTGCATTTCTCAATAGCCCAAATACACTCCAGGATTATGCCTGCGTATATAATTAGGCAGGAAGCATGAAAGCACTTAACGCGTCTGGGGGGAGTTTGAAAGAATAATCGCGATTGAGGAGAAACTTTGAGATCAAAATAATTTGATGTGTTATGTGCACATTTAACTGTATTACATTTATTTGATTTAAATTTATTTTATCTCCTGGACATACCGGTAGTGGTTGTAAACTGTAACATATTTATTATGGATTTGATTGCCAATAAAATGTCTTTGAAATTTTCCATTCTTACCTAAGTATAAGGCGCGATGGAAAAAGGTAGGTTTATCTTCAGGCTAGTCAATACGCCAATAAAAGGGAAAAATTTAAAAATAACTAGTCTTGATTGACGAATTGTTAAAAATGAAAATTTGTGAACAAAGGTTAATAACAATAATAACATGACAATAAATATTATGAAAGGTGTGCAGAATGTATACATATGGAACTCATGATAGTCGAATAACATAATGTTATGTCGTATAAAAAAATTCACATAATTATTATTTGTTTAAATTTTTTTGCTGAAACCTGAACCTATGGCATTAGAGTTAATTAGCGGGAACAATTTACTGACATCGGAACACAAGTTCACAAATAGTCAAGTTTTCTGCAAATTTCCACAACATTACCTATGGTGTTCTTTTTGGGAACCACAAGTGATACAAGCCGAATAGTGACTTTTATTACTGTATTACTGGCTTTAACATCGGAAAGGAGCAGAATCAGCTTGCAGTACTTTTGCAACATCGAGAAGATCCTAGATCAAAAGAAAAAAATAACAACAGTACCCAATTTGAGTTGTTGAAAGAACGTTTATAAACCATTTTTATGAAACAATTTAGGTAATTGATGTAAATATTTCTAAAGCGTGTATACATTCACTATAGACGAAAATAGATAGTTCATTAAACAATTTTGTTCCATAAATGTATTTTATTATTGCTGTAATGGCTATTACAGAACAATCTTGTAAATGTTTATAGGGTATACCTACTTGATCTTTTCCATCTAAAATGCGTTGTTGTCAAAATTGTACACTTTGGCAGATTTCTGACATCAATGCATATTAAATGGGAGGGGGTACGGTATAGAAAAGGTGCCCTAAAGCCTAAGCACAACTTGACTGGATAACCGCGTCCGGGAGAAACACCACATCCGGTCGAAATACAAAAAGGGAACAAAACTAAACAAAGCCACCTGGAATGTCCGATCAAACAACGGACCAGGAGAACTTTGAAATCACGACCAGAGTCGAGCAAGGATGTGTCATTGCGCCAAGCCCATTCTCTATATTTGTAGGAGCCATACTTCACCTTTTATAAAAAGTGCCTGTGGGCGCTGATATCTCCTATAAAACTGATGGTACGCGTTAAGTTATTCCATCTAAGCAACCTTCGAGCTAAGAACCGGGTATCCATAACGGTTGTTTGTGAGCTCCAATATGCTGATGAGTGCTGATAACGCTGTCGTGCCAAATAACGAGAAACCTACAAACTACTTTAAATACATTTAAGCAAGCATACGAAAGCATCGGTCTAGAACTAAACACGGATAAGACAGAAATCATATACCAGCCTGCCCGAAATACGCATACACCAGATCCAGCTGGACGTCTAGAAAATGTCGAATAGGTACTTTCCATACCTTGGTAGTGATCTTTCTACAAATGCAAATATCGACGCGGAAATTTAACTCCGACTAAAGTGCTCCAGAGCAGGTTTTGGACGTAGGTGTTTGACAACAACAAAGTAAGTGTACAAACTAAGCTCGCGGTCTACAATGCCTTCATCATACCAACATTTCTCTGCGGATGCCTGAACAACCTACAGAAGGCACCTGAGGTACCTATTCAAGAAAATATCACCAGCGCTGCTTGAGAAGAATACTCAAAATAAACTAGCAGGGCCGACGTACAAACAACAGTATCCTTGAAGAAACCAATTCCACCTTCGCTGGGCTGGTCATGTCGTCCGCATGAGAGAATCACGTCATTCGCATGAGACTGAGAGACTCACGTCTTCCTAGGCAAATTATGTATTCTTAACTGAAAAATGGCCAGGGTGAATATTAGGTTTAAAGGAACCACTTCTGCATTATTGTTTCTGATGCAGAATCAATTTCTATGTCCAGTCCATTTTAAGCAGTGTACGTGATATGGGGTTCATTGCCAAATAGAAGGATAGTGGTCTGAAGGAATGGGGGGAAGCCGGGATCCACGTTTTCACCCCCTACTTTAATAATATTATTATTATTTAAGCCATTTTATAGGATTATTGCATTAAATAAAGAAGCACAAATCAGGTTGTCAGGACATCATCAAACAATAATTAAATTATTCGATCAGAGCCGTTTCGATCTTTCATTGGATCTTCTTTTTCCAAATTATTATTATTACATTCTCAAGGCCGTTATTTGTTTTAGTTATCAGTCAGTCCAATTTGAGGTTTGTATTTTGTCGGTATCGCCTTTAAAAACTGTTTACTTACGTTCACTATGCCTTTTAACTATATAGGATGCTGTTTGTTTCTCAGACTAAGCTAAAAAATGGTAAAAATGTTACGGATAATGTCTTAATTGATTCAAATTTTAGGCATAGCGAGTGAACCAAGCTCCGATTTTATTTATTTTGGTCAAATTTGCGGGAAAAGAAGCCTCATGATGGCTCATACTTCCTTCACGTGTTGCGCGTCTTTTGTCAGATTCTGATTGCACGTGCACTGTCCGTCTTATTTTTTCAAATTGAATCTTCGGATGTAAGTACCTACTCTTGAAGTTTCCGTGGCTTGTTAACAGTTATGTAGCTTTGAAACTACGCTGAAATACATCCATCCCTACTTCTTGGCAGTGTTTTTACAACTGCCCTTATTTTCCTCATCTCATGTCCTTTAGTCCTTTGCCATTGTGTTATAACTGTTGTGGCCCCATTTTCTGTTTATCACGCCCGTTTCGTCATTGCCAGCTTTGCCACTTTGATTCTAGTGACACGCAAGTGTTCTGTAGTTCCTCTGTCTGTCGAAAGTGTGTCCCAGGTATTCCAGATATTATTTTGCGTTACCTATATTGTTTTGTCCTCGATCTTCATCCTGGGTTCACTTGCTCTGTTCCAACAGACCGTTTTCCGTTTTGCATATCTAAATTTTCCCATATGTAGCGAACATTATGGGGGACACTGTAAATACTTTAAGTACTTATAAGGAGTTTAAGTACCTACTTATAAGTACTTAGAATATTTATAATATGTACTTTCTTAGGTATTTATAAATCTATCCCAATCAATAAAATGAAATAGGTAATAATGCTATTTTGTGTTTTACTACTTTTAACGCACATTTATTTTCTAGTGAACAGACCTATTGTTTACTTATAATAATAATTATCAATACAATAATTAAAAATTGAAGTTTTACTTACTTATAGGAGCTTACCTTTTTAAAACCTACAATATAACATAAATAATTAACTCGGAATGCCAATCCGGACAAGTAAGAACGTAATAATCTCAAGTCAAAAGACAACGCCACACATCCAAGTGGATTAATTATTCCACTTGTTCGGACATGCTAAAAGGGATGCAATTAACACCTGTTTTTTCTGAGCCACACGGGCATTATTTTCTAGAAAATACTTAAACTAGATATACCGAATAGGTACTTAGGGTACATATTATAAGTAGTGATGCCGCGAGACTCGAGACTGGGTCTCGTCTCGTCTCGCTTTTGGTCTCGTCTCGTGAAGTCTCGACGAGACGAGACCAGACTCGGTGAGAGTCTCGCAGTCTCAAGTCTCGAGATTACAATTAAAATTTTTGTTCACAGCTTATTATTATTATTGGACTATTCTGGGCTAGAGTAAAAATCAAACGAGAAGAAGCCACACGCGTTATCGTTTGTCTCACTTTAAATAGAAGCGACCCAGAGAAAAGGAAATCTGCCTTCTGTGTCAGCGATGACGTCAATGGCTTCTTCTCGTTTGATTTTTACTAGTGATGAAACGATTAATGTTAGACGATAACGATTGCGGTTACGATTATTCAGGCAAATATCGTACGATTACGATTACCAAACGAAATATACCAAAAAACTTTATTTCCTTTAAAAAAGTGGATAAAAGCTAAAATGAAATTAATAAGAATCAAATCAGAACGAAGAAAGAAAATAAACAGTATTATATTGATTATTATGTAACAATATCAATAGTTAAATTTAATATTGTTTAAGCTCTGATTGAGGAAGCATAACATTTTTAAATTTTGTGGGCTTAGTCGATATTTTTTAGGAGCCTGAATTAGTTCTGCTGTAGAAAATAATAGTTCTGAATCTACAGAAGATGGCTTGTAGGATGGATACACTTACTCAAACTTATATGGAATCACCGAATATTTCCGCTGAAAAATTTTTTACTAAAAAATTAGTTGCTGGGAATCAAAATACAGTTTGTTTAATTCATTTTCATTGGAAAAATAATTGAAAATCTATGAACCTAATTTTATTACAATAAAAATTGAATAAAAAGCCAATATTACAAATTAAGTGATTCCATATAATAGCAAACGTATAATCGTAAAATCGTATAAAGATAATCGGCGATTACGGTTAATCGTGAGAACTTGATAATCGCAGGTTAATCGTAATCGCAATCGTAATCGTTTCATCACTAATTTTTACTCTATTTGAATATAAAATCAGAAAAAAAATTGAACGTCGACTAAAAAAATTAATGTCGACAAAAAAGTTTTTGAGAAAAGACTCCCTGCAGTTTTTTGTAAATTTTAATACTAACAATTATTAATGGGATGATTTCTACATACATACTTAAGTATGTACCTACGTACCTACTCCATTTTCAGATTCCACTTTCA